GCGGAGGGCGCCTGTCGCCGGTGCCGGGCGCGCTGTGGCGGCGCGGAGCAGCCCCGGGCGGCCGGGGCGAGCGGCCGCCGAGCCAGCCGCGTGCTCCGAGGTGGCTGTTTTTTCTTTTTGGCTTTGGAGCGGGGGAGAAGCCGCCTCCGTTTCACTTCCAGCAGCTCTGCGGCTTGGATAAGTCTCAAATACGTTAGCTAGGGTCTCACATTTCCCTCTCGACTTCCCAACTTGCAGGTTAAGTCCCCGTCTCCCGCGTGTCGCGACTGCGAGCCGCGGCCACGGTGCCCTGCGGTGGCGCTGGGTGATGCCCGTGGGCGGCTGCCAACTGACTCTGTAAAATCACTGCTGCTTTGCCGGGGGGATGTTGTTTCCTCCAAAAAGGATGTGAGTTCTGGACGTAAGCAAGCAGAACTCGGCCGAATCAATGGCGTTATTGGGTTTCCCGGCGTTGAATGTGGTCMACGGGCACGTTTCAGTGCCGAGTGTCGTTTCAGTGGTGGGCAAGGTGCTCAGCGAAGGAAAAAGAACCTGCAGTAAGGGAAGGCTCCCTTTGAACTGGTGCTCAGTCTTGTACAATGCACGATTGTGAGACAAATTGGCAATTAAAGCTGATTTTCTTTAGGAACATGCAGGTTTATATGGTTAGCTCTTGGGAAAAAAGAAAGCTGATTTCTAAATTCTAAAAGAAAACTAAGAGCAAACAATTTTCTGACTGCTAAGGTGAAAGCARTCATTAAAGCAACTTTACATTGCTGAAGTTCTGCATTATTTGAATCCTGCAGCACCAAAATACTATGCTAGAGGTGAAGCAGGAGTTCTAGGATTGATAAAAGCACCTTGAACGCATCTTTTTGTGTATACGAATAGATCTATTCATGTATTGCAACAGCTTTTGAGAAGTACTTTTACTCAAAGTGATTATTTTTTCCAGCTTGCAGATATCAGCTCATTGAGTACTGCATTGTATTCCATATGTGTGAATTTGTTAATGAACATTGACTTTTGCTGCTGACCTTTATATGTATGCAAAAGATTATTGAATCATTTTAGTTTTGACCTTATGTGCTGATTAAGCCTCTCCTACTTCTTCCTCCTCATCCTCTATTGTAATCAAGAGTGATTAAGACTTGCAAAATCGCATATTTAATGTGACAAGAGAGAAAGGATAGGAACAAATTCTTATTTTTTTTCTCAAACAGATGTAGTATAAGAGAAAAAAAACATATCTAACAGAGTCATTACATRGGATAGCAAGATAAAATGTTTCTGTCCATTTGTCCAGACTATGCAATRAAGCAAAGGATATATAGAATTTTACCAACCAGTCTTTCCCCTTCTGACAAAAGTTCAAGGGATACTTTCAGAGACTAAAGTGACAGGTCGGTACGCAATCTTTCAGAAAATTCCCACTGGAAATTTTACCCTTATTATGCAAAGTATTCCATTTCCTAATGATTTACAGTGTTCAGTACAAGGTCACTTGCAAGTCCCTGAAGTCACCAAGTCAAAGTCACTGGAAACTAAATAAGAAGATAGGCAGAAAATTGTATCCAAATAATAATTCCTTTAAGAAAATCACATATGCAGTCTTTGCTTTAAGTGTATTCACTCTGTGCAGCACTTTTCTGCACCTCATTGTGTAAGAAAATGCCCCGCTGGATTAGATGTCTACAACTTCTTGGTCCACTGTTAGCAAGAAGCTGTTGCTGTCACCATTCATGCTGCCAGCCCGGTGTAACCCTGTCACCTTCCCCTTCTCAGGTACTTTACTGTTAAGCAGAGAGGCTTTATAGGGAAAAGACAGATTTAAAATATGTAAAAAAAAAAAWAATGTTTGTGGTGGCAAGGTATGGAGGTTTGGCAGATCAAYAGACTTAACAAATGTCAAGCAGAAAAGGGGAAGGAGGAGGATCATTCCTACCATGTGGTGAAGCCTGGAGAATTGTAAAGGAAGCAGAGGATACTGCAGGCTGGAACTGCAACACATGCCATGGTGGGGGGATAGGGAGCTGTCCTTATCCCTGCAAATCTCATGTCATTCTGGCAGAGCAGGTGCAGCTAAATACCCATTTTTTCTGGTGTCTCTGATGCCAGACAGTAGCTGAGGCACAGAAAGGAATACTAAAGATACAGCCCTGTTTTTTTCTCAGACTCCCCGGGCTTTGTCACTGGGGAACTTCCTTAGCCAGAGCTCATATCTCTGTACAAAGTGCTTGCTATGGCTTTCTGTATAATGAAAGGATTGGATTATTGTTGCTCAGATGTTATCGGACAAGAATATCCATCAAAATATGTAACTTTATGCTTCTAAGTTCATGTCTATATTAAAGGAATTGTGTATTTGCTTAGGCTTTGCAGTTTAAGGCTGAAATTTCAAGAAATCTTGAATATGGTACTCTGTTTGGAAAATCTCAGTTATATAAACATGGGTTAATTACATGGAAGCAACTGCTTATGCTCTGGGTTGTGAAATCCATTATTTTGGTCTCAGTTTTAGATTGAGATCCCAGTTTGACTTTGATCACAAATTTCATTTCATTTAAAAGATACTGTTCCTTCCTTTCATTTACATAGATGATTAGTTGTCAGTGTTAATCGGGTTTCAGGTTAAACATATCTGTCATCTTCAGAGTGTTCAGTTTTCACAGGTGACTTCTCAACAAGACTGTATCCTGGTGATAATTTGAGCTAGGCAGTCACAAACACAGACATTCAGATCACTGGTCAGGTTTGAACCCTGTGAGCTGTGGGGTCATGAAAAACGTAAGGATGATGGTCCTCCCTTCTAGCMCTTCCCTCGGAGAGAGCTCAGATTCAAAATGATGGCTTTAGTGCTGTGTGTTCTGCTTTGTTTTTACAAAATTGTTTATTTTCATATAACAGTAATTCACGGTAAAAACAGCTAAAATACATGCACATAATTATTTAATGTGGTTGCTGTTAGGAAGAAGTCTGAGACCCCCCAGTTTAACTGGTTTAATCAAGTTAATCTAAAGATAACCAGATCATCTCTAACCTTTTCCAGGTAAAGAGACCTTAAGTGCAATGGTTTCCTAATACTAAATAATATTTATAGCTAAAGGTATTTTGAATAATCCCCTAAGAACACTGACAAGTGAAGAATCAAACATCGTCTTTGTGGAAAATATTGTACTAAATTATTTAGGGTGGGTGGAAACTTTTAGAATTCTGGTTTTAAACTTATCCATTCTCTCTCTCTTGTAGGTGGCTGGTACTGGGTATTGCCATGGCGCGGTTTTATATGCAGAAAGGAACACACAAAGGCTTGTTCAGAAGTGTTCAGAGGACGCTGAAATTTTTCCAGACATTTGCTTTGCTTGAGGTAAATTTCAATCATTACAGTTTATTTGGCTCCATGTTGTATATCATAGGGAAAACACACACTAGTAACCTAAATGTAACATCAAAATATTATATTAGTACTGGCAGACATTTTAACCTTATTTAAGTAAATTGGGGGCAGAGGGGCGAGATGATTGACAGAAACATTTTTTTCAAATTTAATATTGCCTTAAACCAAATATTTTCTGGGAATTACTTTGTTTTGAATGCTTAAGAATTGCCGTGTGGTGCATCTCAAAAGCTGAAATCTCCAAAGACATCCACAGGAAGTTGTAAGCCAGTGGGTCGACTCTCTAACCTAGTGAGCATCTTGTCTCCCTCCAAAGATGATGATGGCTTCTGCCTCATCCCTTATCCTGGGCCGCTATCCACCTTTCCACGCCTCCTKCTGGATGTTTCCAGATGGGGTTCACATGCTCCATATGATCTACTTAAATATGAATGTTCAGAAACAGGAGAGCTGTGCAAATTGTGCAAAACATTCTTGAAATTCTGCAAGTTTTGCCAGCTGTATGCTAGAGTGGTCTTGGTGTACGATACAGCSATGGCATGAAAATATTGAGTCTGCTCATCACTTTGGATACTTGCCCTAGCACAACAGAAAGTGCCCAGCTAGATTTACACTTTTCTTCTAGATCTGCTTATAGCATTTGTAGTTCCAGGAACTATTTTAAATTATGTGGCTAGCCATTTCACAGTAAGTAATACTACTTGAATCCACCAAGAGAGAAAGGCACTGTATTTGCTAAACTTTCCTGGTCAAAAAATAATGAGTATGAAGTCTTGTAACTGTGATTCACAAAATGGTCATAATGAAATAATCCATAATAGTTACAAAAGATACAAAAAATGCTGTTTATGTAGCATCCCTTATGGTACCTTCCACATTGTCCTGTAAAATTCTTCCTTTGGTAAGATGCTGATTAGTAAGCATCCAAAGGATGCAAAGTAAGGAAAACTTACTCTTTGGAGTAGTAAATTATTTCTAGATATATGAATACTTAATATATAAAAAATAATTAGGAAAATAAATCTCTTTTTTATGGTGTTCACAAAAATCAGACATAAAACTAATCAGAGAATTATGCAGTTTACATCCTTTAAGTGTTAATCAGAGTAATCTGTAGTGTACATCCTTTACGTGTGCTGAAATGTTAATTGGAGTAAAAGCCAGCAGTCCAACATCAGAATTAATGTTGAATTTGAGATTTGTTTTAATATCAGAAAGGCCATGTTTATAGTGCAGATAGTAACATAACTGTAAATCAGTAACCTTTAACTTATTTTTGTTTACAGGTAGTCCACTGTGCAGTTGGTGAGTCCTTTGTTTTAGTTTCTCATGTAACTGATTAAAACGTGAATTATGGAACAGAAATAATATGTTTATCTTTTTAAGGAATAGTTCACACCTCTGTGCTTGTGACTGGGGTCCAAGTGAGTTCAAGAATCTTCATGGTGTGGTTCATTGCACATAGTATAAGACAGGTAAGTGGGTGAGCAAGTTGTGTTTTAATTGTTATTAGAAGGAGCTACTAGTACAGTTCTTATTACACCAAAGAGGTGTAATTAATCACGTTCACAAGAGAATACTTACACAGTGAAGTGCAGTTCCTGCAGTTGTGCTACAGTACTGAATTTATATGTGATTTGCCTCTTTCCAGAAGGCTGAGCCTTGATCTTAGGTGTCTGTTATCACTAGCTTTGGCATGGGGACAGCTGTGGCCAGCCTATGTCAAATGAAAGACTAGTGATTTTTTTATTCACCAACAGATGTACCAGATGACAAACACTGTCACCTGTTCTCTTTCAAGAGCGTACATTAGCAGTTCCTGCATGAATCTAAATGGAAATATGTTTTATGTTAAGTGCATGTGGACAAATATGCTATTTTGGCTATTTTGCAATTTATGTTAGGCCCCTTCTCAGAATTTTAAAGTTAAATTGATGTCATGCAAACTCCATTGCTTTCATTAAAAATATGTCAAGCTGTCCAGCCTGTCATAGTGACACTTAGGTCCCCTATAAATGACAATAATGCATTTGCTTGGCTATGGATGGTTATTGCAAGTTTAGTGACTCATTAGTAGAATTACATATCTGGAGGAGTGTTTACAGCTAGTGGATAGGACATTCAGTTCAGTTTGTGAGGTCTCCTTTCTGTGAAGGGCATGGTAAATGATAGATTTTAGAGACTGCAGCTGTGTTTCTGTGAACTTGAAATGCTGAGCCATTAAACTGTCTCACCAGCAGATGGCATGTGCCTTTCTGCTCCTGGGCAATAACATCTGCCTCGGTGTCAATGCCCTTTATTTCATACCTTTCATTTCAGTTCACAAATAGCTCATATTCTACACCTCACCTTTTCCTTTACCATCACTTTTTTTAACATGGAATAGGCACTGCATAACTTTTTTTTTTTTTTTTTTTCCCTTCGGTAAACTAAGGATTGTCATTTTTGCTTTTATGAAAAACAGGTCTCAAGGAATAACATTTTTTGCACTGAATGTTTATGTGAATGCTGGAATATGGCACTGTTTTTTGTTACTGTGTTATTATCTGCAGTGGATTAAATCTTTAATATATCCAGTCATATCCATTTTCTCTATCTCTAGTACAGTAGTAAAACTGTGTCCAAGAAAAATACATCTAAAGGAATGTCTGATTGTATTTCATGCTATTGCTGCTTAGTAGGCATAAATGCTCAGGGTCACTTTAGGTGGTGAGCATGTTAGTGATAATAGCCAGACCCAGATCTCCCACTTGACTAGAGATTTGCAGGGCAACAAATAGCAATTCTTTGCATACTGATCTGAAGCACTGCTGCTTGGATTTAGCACTGTGACATTAATCCAAGTCTGAGTTATCAGTGTTTGCCTCTAATTAGCATGAGACTAAGAACAGCCTAATTCTGTCTTTTTTTTTTTTTTCTTTTTTTCCCCCTCTTATGTATTTGGACATCTTTGCATTTGAGTTGTTGTTGTTTGTGAGTTTGGTGGTATTTTTATATCTCCTTTCACTGCTGTTGGTGAGATCGTTTCATTAAAAACCCACCTTCTTTGACACATTGAGGGCACAATTTTACGAGCTGATGAGCAGTTACATTTCTTCTTTACTTCTCACAGTTGTGTGTGTTCAGCATCTTTGAGATGTATTAAGCCTTGCCACCCCGTTGCATTTTATTTTAAAAAAATCATTTCCCCTTTTTGTCATTTCAACAAAACTTGGGTTACTTTATTTCACACACATCCCTGGGGCTTTTCAGTCTTCAGGCATGGAAATATATTACAAATTCCTCCTTTTTATAGAAGAGAAAATGACTTTTTTTGTAATCCTCTCAGAAGGTAGCGTTTGTAGTTGATCCCCGTGTGCCTTCTTTGTAGTTGGGGAATTTTCTTTTGTTTGTTCACTTGGAGTGAAAACGAGCTAATATTTTAAAACAGCAGGTAGATACGCTTCCTACTGATGAGGCAGTTTAATGACTCAGAACTTTAATCTTGAACAGGGCAGTTGAGCAAGTTTACCCAAAGCTCCCAGACTACCAACTGCTCTTCATTTAGTGATCTGGCTCTGTTCCATTTGCTTAACTCTCTTGCAGCTCCCTGCAATTTGCCAGATGTGATATTCTGCTACTAGTTCGCTCTTCCATTTTGCAGATTGTAGTAGACAATTCATTTTCATCTGAAGCTTCCTGGAGACCTGCATTGGAGGGTGAGGAAGAAGCAACAACAGCCCATGAAATAGAGAGGAAGAAGAGCCTAGGAAGGAGTAGTGAGGAGGAGAGTAGGTAAAAACTGATTATGAAAGGAGCATATCTTAGATACTGTTGATTTCTTTATGCTATTTTTAGGCAAAAAAAAAGAAAGTCCAAAATCTAAATCAACCAAAAATAATAAATAGGAAAATAGGTAGATATTGCAGAAAGAGAATGAAAGGTAGGAATGGAATAAGTGCAAATATAGGTGTGATATAACACTGTTCTCACAGAACATAAAAATTACTCAGTTTCCAAAGTGCCTATATGTTCCTAAAGATATATGATAAAAACTTGTACATGGTGATGTCTTCAGCATATAATTTTATACCAAATTTTTCTTTCTTTACGAAATGTTAGTTCTTTTCCGCATATCTTAAACAGAAGTCTGTTGCAATTTTGCACAGAAAAGAAATTTAAAGATGAAGAAAGTGTTGGTTCTTTATACTCCCGCAGATCCAGAATGAGGAGAGCGTTATTCTTTTTCTGGTCGTATGGACTGTGACAGAGATTACTCGATATTCCTTCTACACATTCAACCTGCTCAACCATTTGCCACACTTCATTAAATGGGCCAGGTGGAGATGTCTTGCACTTCAGTTTCTCATAGTTCCATGCATGCTGGTGTCACGCATGCCGAGCTAACACACAGGAGAGCAGATGTTTGGGCTTTGGTTATGTGTCGGCAGAGTGCAAGTTGGTTGCTTTCTGTATTTGGGATTATAGATATTTGATTTGAAATGTTATGGATATTTTAGCTGAGGTTTGGGCTGTGATTTGTCCTTTGCTTTTCATGTCTTACGGTTTGAACTTCGTTTTAATTTATTTGCATATTTCTTCTTTTACTTCTGGAGTCATTTAAAATGAATAGTATGGCTCCTTGAATACAATGCCCAAAGTTAAGCATCTATTTAAGTCATTATACCCTTCCAGTCTTTCAAATTATGGGAGTTATGGTCTCCCATTTGTTATTCATATTATTGCTATATAACAAGTTCTGCTTTATCAACTGCTCTGTAAATCTGTTATTCACATAGTGAAACGAAATACAGACACAGTTGAGCCTGCATCAGCAGTGTATTCCGTATCAAAACAGTTTTGATTTCGAAGCACACTTAAGGTATATCACTGTATATGGTGTATTACAGAAGCTGCATATTTATCAGGAGACTTAACTAGATGAATTGCATTTTCTGTAGTTATTATATGAGAAGTACATGCCCACAAAGATAGACTTGCAGATAATAATTTATTTAAAAGTTTGTGTTTATTTTGCTCTCTTTTTTGTTTTATAGATAATGCAACAATATTCATGCTTCTAATGCACTTCTTTGATGTGGCTGATATTTATGGACATTCTTTGTTTTTGCTAATGCCTTAGCTGGTTGGTTTGGTCATGTCTAAGCTGTTAGCTTAAAAGTAATGGAGTCCTGTTTCTTTTTTTTTATTATATAGGCGTCAGGGAAAGAAATGCATTCAGAAAGTTCTACATTGTCTGGCATGCTTTTACCATCGAGTTAGTGTGTCTTGAGTGAAGGGTGTTTTTGTTTTTGCATTTGTTTTATAGTAGACAGTGGGGAGATCTGACATTTTCACAGCAGGGACGCATTGGGAAATACGCTATAAATAAAACATTTGCAAATGAATTCTCTTTTCATAGACTCCAAAATTTCCCATCAAGACTTGTGGAGAATCCAAAAGCACAGCTGGGTGTAATTTAGCACTCCTGAGAAGCTGGAGCTTTCTAATCTGCAATTTATAATTCTAAAAGCCTGGGCTATCCCTGGGTAATAGGACACGTATAACCTACATTTTAGAATTTGATTCAGTTTTTTTTTCCCCCACTACATAGAGACAATCTGTGTACAGGTCATGGCATCAGTTTTGTCTTTGGTCTCATTTAATCTCCTCCCTGGCCTCGATGGCCTCCCAGCCCGTTGGCTCCGCAGAGGTTGTGTGCTGGGTTGCTGCCGTTTGGCAGCGCCTCTCTCCTGCTCGTGGCACGTGCTCCGTGAGGAGCTGCTCCTCCCCGGGAAGAGCTCCCAAGGCTGCGCCTGCCTGGGACACTGCCTGGAAGGAGAGCACAAGCCTCATGGATTCCATTTTTCTTCTTTTTTCACCATGAATGTGGTCTATGGCACACAAAACAAAGGTTCTTCAAACTGAATGCATTGCGTTTGCCTTTGTTTTAGACTATTCCAGCTCTCTGCCTATTTTAAAATGCATACACTAAATTGATGGCAATCTCGCATTCTTTCATTTTACATTTCTGTTTCTACTAATGCGGTATTATTTTGACTTCCTGTATGACAGAAGGAAAACAGACTTCTTATGTTTCTCAAGCTTTTCACAATATTAAAAGAAATTGTAATAGATGTAGCTGACCCCATCTGTGGGCACTGTGACAAAGGAGGCATTTGATCATTTGGATTTGGAATCCAGTCCTGCCCTCAGTCCAGTCAGTGACAAATGGACCAAGACAACTAAATAATAAAAAAGACCTTTAATAAAAAGGACATTATTGGAGACTACAAGTCTATGGAATTATTTTTGGCTCTTTATTATTATTATTATAAAGGCATACGAGCACCCTAACGTTTCTCTGTTTTTGAAGAAAAGAACTGAGGAATAAAGTGTCGGCAGTTGTAAATGAAAGTAGCTCTATACAAAGTAACTGCAGCTCAGGATGTGATTCTTGTTTTTGCTACAGGAATTACTGTGATTTATTGCTGTGCCACTAATAATTACAAAAGGAAATTTTTAATTTATGGTGTTTCTCACAAAGATTTTTTTTTTAACACAGATACAACTTTTTTATCATTTTGTATCCTGTTGGAGTTGCAGGTGAACTGTTAACTATATATGCTGCCTTACCATATGTGAAGAAAACAGGAATATATTCACTGAGACTTCCCAACAAATATAATGTTTCTTTTGACTACTATTACTTCCTTATTGCTGTCATGTTCTCCTATATACCATGTAAGTATTACTTAATTTAGTAACACTAAAATCCTAATAAACAATTGTTAGTAATGCGATTTGGCAATACAGTCTGTGGCTAAATTGCTGAACACTTTCACCTATACAAACCTGATTTCTCTTGCTCAAAGCTTTGCTTTATAATGATTGTTTAAACTGAATTTTTCCATCTGTTACTTGTATCAAAACATACATTTTCTTATGCTAACATTTCCAAGAGGAGAGTTAAGCAAAAAACAGTTTTTGCTCATAGACCAAGAGGTTTGCAATTATTTCACTGAGAATTTCCAATGCTTCTCCTGCTTAGAAGCCATGACTTTAAATTGTCCTTCAAGTTCTACCAGAGATTTGGCTTTTTTTTAATATTAATATACATTTACATACAACCTCTGAAGATCACTGTTTGAACATGCTTGCAGAAAACTTGTAGCAAAATTCTCCAAAACTCCCATCTTCACAGAAATCCCCCTACCCGCTCACAGTCCTGTCTGAACAAACCTCAGTCCCCCTTTAACTGTGCTTATGACTTGCTATCATTTGTCTCATTTAGGTGTGTCACTGATCAGTGTGCAGAACTGTATTTGCATTTAATTTATTTTCTTTTATTCCTTGATCAAGTATTTCCACAACTCTACTTCCACATGCTGCGGCAGAGAAGAAAGGTGCTTTATGGAGAAGTAATTGTAGAAAAGGACGATTGAATCCACTCCTCTAACTATGGTGCTTTCAATGGAAAAATGAGGGTAAAACCCCAAAACTTCCTGTGATTTTTCTGAGTCCAAGTTTTAAAACATGGAACAAGAATAAACAACTGTGCACAAAATAATATGGATTGTATTATTTTTGCAGTTTAACCTTGCTTAAGACTTACGTTTTCATTCTTGGCTTCACCTTTGATTTTTAACTTTGTTTCTTCAGACAAAGTCATTTTCTTACTTTCAGTAGTTTGACAGATAGCTTTAACAGACTGAATAGCTGGCTGTTGTGCTTTTTATTATGAAATCTGTAGCCTTCATCAAAAAAGGGAGAGTTAGCAAATTGTACTGAAAGTGAGTCTTCTGAAAAACAGAACTTAGCTTAGACAATGATGTTTTTCAAAGACTAGGTGGCTTAATGTTATCTTTCCTATTTTAATGTGTTAAATCCTTATTTTCTATCAACATTCAGGATGTCTTGAGCCTCTGAGAAAGTACCATTAGGAGCAGTTAGTTTAAACAAAAGCTAAGATCTTAATTATATTCCACTTGGCTTGGCAAGCTATGTTAAATCATGCTTTTACATTGTAAGTATTGTCAGCACATCCAACATTATCTGAGTTAGAGGATCATATCACAGAATTCTAAAAGTTTTTCTTAAAAGCTGAATTCTTAATTGTCAGTACAACTTTACATTTAGATGTATTTTCTGGTAAAAGGGTTGTGCTGTGGGGTAGTCGTGATGTGCCTGCCTTTCTCTAGTCAGTGACTGAAATAGGATTGCTTGTTGGGTAAAACTGATTCTCTGAATGGTTCCTATTCTAAGTCCAAACATATATGCAGAACAAATATGGCATTATATTTAGAAACTGAAGCAATAGTGAGATATTTTATTTTTTATAATTATCTAAGTAGGATAAAATGTATTTAAAAGATAGATACTTTAGATAGAAATCATACTTTGTATGAGCACATTATGCAATTTTTATTTCTCCTTCCCAGTTAATCTCTTGTAATGTGATGACCTAATCCTCTTTAAAATCTTCAATAATCTGCAAGTGGTCTCTACCATATATTAATAAAATTTACAGATGACATTATAGCACCCGAGTGGGAGAAGTCAAATAGTAGATTGAGTAAATATAGACAAGAATGAGATGCAACCTAAGATAACGAAAGACAAGGTTATGCATTTGGGCAGATTTGGTTACTTACTGTGAAAGAGAAGTTTGAAATGTGGTAATAGGGTAAGAAACCACATGTGCCAGTATAGCCAGTGAGGTTGCTTCTGGCACCACTGATGTTAAAAGAATGATGTAGATGTGCTGTATCAAAGCAGCTGGAAATAAAAATACTCTTAGTGTGACTGGTAAGGAATATTCTTGGAATATTGCTGTGAAATATTGTACATTCTGGGTACAGTAGGAGTCAAGAGTCAATCTTCAAAAGGGTCTGAGAACAAGAACAAAATTGACTGAAGTGAAAAAGAAGCAGGAAAGCTTGTCATTAAATATGCACAGCTTTATGTTATATGACAAATACTTATAAAAGATGAGGACTTAATAGTAGGAAAGGTGTAGCTAACACACATTTATATAAAATTGAAAGGAGGCATATATGTCAGGACATAAGAAAAATTAAAAATCAGGAAAGGAAAAGACCGTATCAGAGAGCAGTATTAGGTCCTGCAATGATGCAGCAAAGCTTATCAAAGCATGCTGTTTCTTGGAAGGTTTTAAGTCAGGTGTAATGTAATATTGGAAAATAATCTTGCTTTGGCAGGAGTTTGAACTGTGCACTTGAATAAGTGCCTTCCATTTCTAGCTTCTATGATTCTATAATAATACAAAATTTTTTTTGAGTGTAATACACCTTTTCTGGTGTATCTGATGATTTAATAAAAAGCAAGGCTTCGTTATGCTTCTATCCTCCCAATACCATTTTGTGCCTTGAATTTGTGATATTTATAGATTTCTGTTACATTAGTTCCCTTTTAAATGACAGATGCACAGTGGATTTGAGATGGAATAATTGTATTTCTGGCAATTTGAGAAGGTGTATTCTTTGTACACCATAGAAGAAAAAATCATGCAGGGTGCTTTAAGTTTTTTTTTTATACACAGCTGGAATTATTAAAAGTTTGAAGTATAAATCACATTTACAGTACTGTTTCACAAAATACATATTACACATGTTCAGACCAGCGCTTGGGTTTGTCCAAAGTGCTTGGCATTAGGTCTTATAAGCAAGCAGAAGAATTTAATGAAATATGAGTAAATAAGATTAGATTACATTATTTGTCTCTCTATTTTTACTGTCAGGGCAGCTCACTGAAGATCAGGACTATCCATTTATTGAAAAGGTATTGGATACTTTAACGATCTGATTTTTAAATCCTCTTTTAGATGAAGATTTCCCACAGATACTATTCTTGTAATCATGAAATGAATTTGTGAGCTATAATAGTGAATTGCTGATGTTGCATTTGTTCAGAGTGTGGTCTAAGAACATTATCATATGGAATTCAAAGACACGTTTCTATGTCCTTTTGTGACGTGAAAAAAATGCAGGATTATTCATTATAGTCATGTTTGGACTTTTATTTATAAAGCAGCGATGTACAAGGAAGGTAATGATGTAAATTCTGAAGTGATTTACAGTTGTAATAGTCAAGTAGACTAAATAACATTTGAATAGAAGTACAGCTAACAGTGATGTACAGTATTGTATTCAGTGGCTCACAGACCAGAGGGATTATCATGTAGATTAGTTTGTGTAACGTATACTTCATAAAAAAGAAGTATATACCTCTTCCTTTTCATTTGAAGATTTTCACTGAAGCCTCAGTATTTATCCTTTTATTTTAAACTTCATTCTTCTGTAGGACAGTGGAGACTGCAGGTAAAATCCTGGCTAATCAGATTTTACCAGTGACTTTGAACGGGTCAGGGTTTATGCTATGTAGTCTACTTAAACCTCAGCATAACATAGTGAAATAATTGTTCTAGGCAATGGACATAAAAAAAAGTATGGTTTTCATATGGTGCTTTTTTCCCAACTTTTGTTTGACACCTTTCTTCAGCTTTGTATTCATCTCTGCAATTGCTCATTATTTTAAACATCGAAAACCTCCTTTTTAGGAAGGACAAGGAACACACTCGAACATCAGCCTCTGATATTTTGATGTCATTTAACAAATCATTCATATAAAAGTGCTCCTGAATTGCGCTATATATGTCTTCTTCAAAGAAGTGATGTAGAGTATGACCTTGTAAAGTTGATCTGTGACAGTATATAGGAATAGGCATTTGGAACACTGCATTTTAAAACAGTTTGATTTCTTAGCATAATCATTTTTTTCTTTTTTTTTTCTTTTTTTTTTTTTTTGTCTTTGCCGCACTTTTTTTTCTCCCTTTCCCTGTTCCCACTGGAAAAGCCTGTTCTAGATCAGATAAATTAAATCAGCTCATTTCTTGTTTCACAGCAGTGCACAGAACGTGTACAAGCCAAATCCCACCATCTGGCTAGGGCTGATGCAAAGGGATAGGAGGTTGAGAAACCACAACCTCCTCCTAAGCTGCGGGAGAGGGTCGTAGAGGAGCTCTGCTCATGTTATGAGCAGCAGCTGGAAAACGCCATTTCTTTCAATTCTCCTTTTGCAGGATTTGAGAAGAGAGGCAGCTAAACTCACCCTTGGTCCCTCTGCCAGAGGAGCCGAGGTGCTCAGCTGGTAGGGCCTTGTGCACAAAGCGGGTGTTGCATAAATGAGTTTTTGGCTCTACTGGGCAATCGTATAAGCGTGTATTTCTTGAAATAATGGTATGCCACGGTAGCTGTGTCCCCACATTGCTCTCAAAATTAACAGCCTTGCTGGAATTCTGCAGGAGGCTGCATGTCCTAATTCCCATTAAGCAACATTGACAGCACTTAGCCAGGTTCATGTCAATAGACAGACTGCAAATAGTTAACAACAGGTTGCATGGAAACTTCTTTGACCAAAGTGAACCTGCCTTTTCTTATCCAGAAATAAACATGGTTTTTAAATCTAGGCGTAGTTACTGCTCTTGACTGGGGCTAGAATGCATCACAGTAGGCTACCTTAATGGATATTTGGATATTTCTGTTTTTGCTAAATATATTACAATGAAAAAAAATCCTGGTATTCTCGATAAATTGCAAGTTAAAGTAGATTCAATTTTAACCATATTTATGAATTGAGTTCTAAGTTAATCTAAGGGGGAGAAGAAAGGAAGGGGAAAATATACAAATGAGTTTTATGCACCATACAAGGGAGCTTCATAAACCACAATTTCCCAGCAGGMAAGCTGGCTGCAGTTGCATATTAAGGACTGGCTAAATATGTTATAGAACAAAAACATTGAAAGCTTTTCTGAAGGTTAAATTTTGTTTCTTTTTCTTATTGTTGTTTTAAAATATTCTCAGAGATACTTTATTATTTATTATTAAATAGTTTATAAATTCTTGATGAAGTTGTAGATAATTTTGTGTAGTCATTAAAATAGTGTTTGTTATTATAGCAGTGCAAGAAACAAACATCTCAGATTTCTGCACAGCCCTTGCTGTGTTACCTTGCTCAGACAGATTTCCACATTGCTAGTGCATATTGTGCTTTCCAAGGCTCTACAAGTGGCACATTAACATTTAGCACATTAAATTTAGATTTGCTTTCATGACTGCACTTCTTAACAATATATGGTGCTATATATCAGAATATATGTGAATAATATTGGTGCAGACATTGGAGTATGTGGTAATTTGAGTTGTTGATAACTTTCGAGTGGTTCTTGGTGCCTTAAGTAGAACTGAAGGCTTTATAGATATCGGTAAGTGCCTGACCCTTTAAATTCTCAGGTTCAGAAAACCTGATCTTGGGAATTATTAGGTTACAATAGTCAGTTGTATTGCCTAAAAAGTGTACTGTAGCAGTGGCTGTAGCGAGATAAACTGTGGAGAACCTGCTTGCTGCATAAAGCTAGCTCTGTTATGGGCACTTGCTATGATGTTCAGGCCTGCAGGTAGTACGTTTGGAGCCTCTAAAATGTATAATACTTTCTATATCGTGTCAGCTGAAACATGTAATTTTTAAATTCAAAGTTCTCTTGCTTGTCTATTCAGTGTATGAATGTATTTTATGTTGTTTCATTGGTGGTTTTGTAAAAGTGTTAAGTACAGGAAAATTTATCTAAGCATATCATATACAGAGGTGTACATAAGGTTTCTTAATATAAACGCGCTGTAGCTGCTCATTAATGTATTTGTTTTTCTCAACAGTGTTATCATAAGGCATTATTGTGCACATGCATGCGGGCATATGCGTTGTCATGCATATCA